AGCTCTGTGGATCCGAGGCATTACTGTTTTTACCCTGAAGGCTTATGGTGCCCTTGAAGGGTTTCAGTACCTCTCCTTTGAGGGGAAGACAATGTTAACAGATCCCAATATAAACAAAATACCACCTAAAAACAAAGAGTTGATATTAAGACATTTACCGATTGGTCACAATGTACAGAAATGGTGAATTACATTATTATCTACAATATAATTAGTAGGTTTGTAAAAGGGTTTACAGTTTCTGATGGTGGGCAAAGAACTGGGGATGAGGTGTAGGAAGATATGCTGAGGAGGTATGAGGTGAGGATATAGAGTTATTATATCTCAGGAAGTGTGAAAGAGAAATCTAAAGAAGAAGGTTAGTAGCAGGAGAATAGAGAGGAAGTAATTTTAGGCAGACAAGTAAGAGGGAAGACAAAGTACATTAAACAAACATACATATATATTAAGAAAAATAAAAAATGTTAAAATAGTAAAAATTGGAGAGAAAACGGAAAAAAACAACAACAAAAGAAGAAAGAATATACCACACAACTGTAATATACTATTCAGTTGTCTTAGTGCTCTGTATCCTAATTCATGCACAGTGCTTGGTTTCACATATGTTGGGGATGTGATGGCGGTAGAATAATGAGGGAGAAGAAAGAAAAAAATCATCTCCAAGAAAGAAATAAGGATTGTTTTGGTTTGAGATCAGTGTATTTTCTGCTTCCCTTCTCAACCCAATAGGTGGGATTTTCTGTACTTAGTTGGTATCTCTGCCCTCAGGATGGTGGGGGTTCCAAGGATGTAAGGTTTGGTTGGTCTTGGGCTCAGGGCAGTTGCAAGTGGGCTATGGCATCCGCTGGTTCTGTTGGGAGACTGCACCTCAAGGATCTCCTTTGAGGTCTGCTCTGCGATGTGGGCTCCAGGTCTTATCTCTTGTCTTCCCTGTGGACCTCATAGTTCTTGCCCTCTAAATTAGTCTCTAAAGCTATCTCCCTCACCTTCTCCCTTCTCCTTCCTAATCAGGAACCTTTCTCTGGGAGGAGGGAGGGGTCTTGTGTGTTGCACTCTGGTGCCTGACCACCTGTCACCCAGGGCAGTTTTGAATTGGACAGTTGCTCTGCTGAGTTAGCGGCTGCTGGGATTGGGGTGAGTTTAAAAACTATGGGTACCTGGCTCTTAGGTGTTCAAAACTGGAAGTTGCTCCAACTAAATATGGTGATGGAGGTGGCCCAAGATGGAGGCAGCTGCTTTCAGGGATGAGGCATCAGGTTGGGTGGGGGGAGCCTGTTGGAGATGCATTCAGAGATGAGCTCTGGGATGTTCAGTGTTGCAGCTGTCCGCTTCTTCAGAGCCTGTGATGTCCCCAGGTGCGGGCAGACTGCTACGAGTAGTGGACTATGATGGTAATTGCCAAGTCCCAAGATAGAGGTGACCAGAGGAGCCCCATGTTGGTAGACGGGGGTCCACATGGGGGTGGCTTCTAGAGTTCCTGCTTGTGGGTATTGGATGAGTGTTCTTTGTGGAAGTGGTGTCTGGGAATTCTGTGCAAGTGCTGATGCAAGTGGTCCCATTAAGTCACCCATGAGACCTAAGTGGGCGAGTTGTCAGGAATCCTTTTCTAATGTTGAGGCCTGGGACCTTTCACAGCATGGTGGCCATGACTCATGCCCAGGATCAGCTATGGAGGGGTCCTCTATCACTCTCAGCAAATCAGTATTCCTACTAGTTGAGACCTGGGTCGTGGGATGACACAGAATGCTGCTTCCCTCTGACCCACCATCTTGGATTCCCCCTGCAATTCTTTTTAAATAGTTTTACTCCTTGAATAGATGCAGTATCCATTTAAATGCTCTGGGCTGCAAGTAATATAAGATGTTAAATGGAACAGATGGAATTATAGGGAAGTCGTTATTTCATACCATGTAGAGAAATATGGAGATTTCCTTATTCATTGCTACAATATCATAAAGCACCCAGACCTTTCTGTGTCTCTACCTCCGTTTACCAGAGAAATCAGTAGTGTTTTCTATTGTGATTATAATGTGTTTGCATCAGTTCCATTCCAATCAAGAGGGTGATGCCAAGGAAACAGCATGAATTAGTTCCTGTGCATCTTTTAAAAATCATTTTAATATATGTACTAATTTTTTTAGGGCAGATTTAGCTATAGAGAAAAGTAAATAAAGAAATATAGAGTGTTCTCTTACCTCTCCCCCCAGTTTTCTCTATTAATATTTTGTGTTAGTATGATATATCTGTTATGGTTGTTATGTCATTATTAACTAATAGTTTAGTTTTCATCAAGGTTCATTGTTTGTGTTGTATAATTCTAAGGGGTTTTGAGGAATGTATAATATCATGTGTATACCATTACAGTGTCATACAAAACAGTTGTACTGCTCTAAATATTTTCTGTGCTCTACCTACTTTTCCATACCTCTTCCCTAATTTTTGACAACTACTGATCTTTCTATAGTCTCCATAGTTTTGCCACCTCTCCCTCATGTCCTGTAGTTGGAACCATATTTTACATAATCTTTTCAGACTGGTTTCTTTTGTTTAGCAGTATGAATTGATTGTTCTACTTCTTTTAATGGCTTGTTAGATTTGATGAGTCATATTTCCTTGTGTGGATGTACCAACACTGATATATCTATTTAGCTGTTGAAGGGCATCTTGGTTGCTTTCAACTTCTGGCAGTTATGAATAAAGCCTGATATAAATACCCATGTACAGGTTTGTACTTATTTGAGTTAATATCTAGGAGTATTATTGACAGATTACATGCTATGACTAACTAACTTTGTAAGACATAGTCTAAAATCTTCAAATGTTTTTAGTAATAACTAATTATCCACTTGTTAATATTTTTCTAACAGTAGTATATCCCCTCTGCTATTTCCCCTCAGTTTCTAGAATTGGGTCTTTGGCTCAGTTCTAAACCAATCTCTTGGAAGTTGAAGTTGTCTTAAACCAGGCAAATTCATCTCTGGGACTAGGTTTCCAACTGGAGAGGGAGCCACTTTTCTTGAGTGCATAGCTAAATAAAGAGGGAATAAGAAAGTAAAACACCAAATGGAACTGGGGATATGGCATAAAGTAAGAAATATAATGGAAGGAAGAAGTGGTTGATTGTGGCAACTAAGACTGAGATGCAGCATAACCAGACTTTTTCCTCCCCTCCACCTCTCTTCCCCTTTATTACATTCTAGAATGTAGGTTTATTGCAGAAAATAATCTTCAGGGTTTTTAGATTTCAAGCACTTAGGTCTCACCTCTAACTTTCAACCTCAGACCATGTGTACATTTTCAAACATTTAGCCACTATTCTGTGGTTGTGGTATTGGGGGAAAACAAACAAATTATTGGAAATGATCAAATTAAATTAAGTAATTGTTATACATGTATTATTATTGGACAGTGATAAAAACTCAGCACTAGCACAGAATTATACAGTTATTACAGATTTGCCTGTTTCTGGTGTTTGTTCCACCATTAATGAGCCGTGCATGCCTGAGCAGGTCTCCTGTCTTAGGCCTCAGTGCCTTTGGCTATAAAATAAGAAGGTGAGACTGAGTAACCTCTATTCCCTTTTTTACTATAAAATTATATCAATCTATGACTTGTTGCAAACATAAAAAGAAATCCTGAGTAGTAAAAATATATTCAGTCACAAAGGATTAAGATTTTGGAGAGCTGTAATCTGTTTTTATCACATCTATGAAGGACTTTATTACCCTCTTTAATTGCCCCCAGCCAAGGTTAATTAAGTGTATTTAAGTTCTGTCTTACTATTGAAAGTGTGCCTCTGTATTCTTTGCTCAAGAGTTTATTTTTTTTCCCTTGCCATCTCTGATCAATAGCTGTCAGCATGCTTTTTGGAGGTCAGTGGCTTCTCTTCTGCACTTTATTGGCAGGTGGCACTTTTGATGTGCAGAACTCTTTGCCTTCCTTCCTTCTTGGTAGGGTGCAGAGAGAGAATCAAATTACCCAAGTATTTACCTCACACACTACAGTCTTGGTATTCCTCTTCCTTGTTAGGAATGGATATAGAGACCTAATTAGGGAATGATACTGCTCCTTTCATGTTGCCAGAGACCTATCCCATTATCACTCTGCTCTTTCATGTTTTTTACACCTCAGTAATTCTTAGAAGGATACCTTCTTTATCAGCCTAATATCCTGCCTTTGAAACTCTCAGGTTCAAAATGGAATCTCTTAGCATATTAAAGGATTTACGGTTTGATATAGTCAGAGTTTAACAGGTTGTTTTCTGTTCCTCACTTGTATATTTCTCTTTGAAACTGGTTTGTCATTGTTGTTTTGTTTATTTCAGCTTTATAGACCCATTCTATATTGTAAATCTGTCTCTCATATTTTCAACCTTTGGAAACACTTGGTAGCATGGTAGTTTTGAGAGTATTTTATGTAGTGGTAAGTGGCAGATCAAAAAGTTTATAGCCATTTGATGACATTATTTTTTAAGGCATTTAAGAACAAAATGCCAAAATTGCCTTACTTATTTGATTTCATTATTCAGCATCATTTATAGTGAAGTCTGTTGTACTAATCCTCCGCCTGAGGAAATGAGAAAGGTATGAGTTCTGCTCTGAGAGGTAAATAAGCCTGTGGTGGCAACTGGCAGTTACTGGTGGGTTTTGAGCTAGGTAATAGCATAATTAGAATGACTTTATAGGATGGTCTTGTTGCTGGATGTGTACTAATCCAGGCAAAGCTTGATCATTTTCTTTAGGCAAAGGTAAATTGAGGCAGATCAGAGTTGTATCTGTTAAAATGGAGGATAAACAAAAAAATCTAAATGCTGTTATAGGGGAGATTATCCTGGAATATCATTCATAAACCGGGGTCTCTGAGCAGCTGTCTCTGGCCTTGTCTCCATACAGCCAAAATTTCATGATGATCAAACATCACACAGACCAGAGTAGAATACTTTTGGAAATCCAGAACTGGACACACCTAACTAAGCATTCATTTCCTGTGTTTCACTGCAGGTTTGAATCGTCCTCTCATGCTATCAGTATGAGTGCCTATTTGCGGGAGCAGAGAAGGGAACTCTATAGTCGGAGTGGAGAACTTCAAGGTAGGTAATGGGCCTTCTCTGAAAATATTAATTTTCTGGAGGAAGATCTGAAGTGTTTATAGCATAAGAATTCATGATCTGCATTCAGAAGATTCTTTCTAGATCAATACATTTAAAGACTTGATATTCTATTTCTTCTATCGTTTCCCAGCCTCTCCTGCCAAGCAAATAAAACTATTAGTACAGTCAGAAGACTTCCAGATCTGCTACCATTCAAACAGGGATTCTAAGTGACAGAGAAGTGGTTAGGCTCTTCTTGCTTAGCTAGCATGCAAGTCCAATCACCGTCCAGTAGAATGCCAGTCTTCTGTGGTAGCCACTGTTACTGTTCCTTTTGTTATTGTTTTCTTTTTAACACTTTCAAAATATGGCAAGCATAAGTGAGATTTGGAAAAGAGCAAATACAATCTCTGTCATTGTTTAAAGGGAAGAAGGATGCCTCTATGTAGTATGGTCTAATCGATATGACTGGGATACATGGGATTCTTCTTACCCATATGTGGTTACTAGAGTGTTTTACTGCACATCTGCAGAGGAAAATAGTTTGGAAATGAAATATAAAATAAATAAATAAAAATCAAACTAATAACATTTCCTTTTAGGATCAAAAAATGGTAATTATGATAAATTAATTAATTAAGAAAGATTCGTGAGTTCCTGCTAAGTATAAGACATCATAGGATTTAGAAAGAACTGAAGTTGGGTACAAAGAAATAAAAGATAAAACCTTAAGATTCAGTTGTGAAAGTAAGGTGTGTGTGTGTGTGTGTGTGTGTGTCTGTCTGTCTATCTGTCTGTTTGTCTGTGGTCAGTCCTCCACAGTCCATGGTGGGTTCTGCATATAGTCGCATTTATACTGAATAATTATAGGAGTTTTTTTTTTTTGCCACTGTTTCCTAAACACTGCAGTATAACAACTACTTATATAGCCTATTCATCATATTAGATATTATAAGTAATCTACAGATAATTTAAGGTAATAACAATAAATGTACAGGTTACAGACAAATACTATACAATTTTATGAAAGAGACTTGACCACAGTCAATTTTATTACTCACAGAGATGTCTGTATTCACACATCTATACATACACCCACAGAGACACAGACACCTCACCAACAATGTGAGGAAGTACATAGGAGTAACTAAGTAGATTGTATGTATAGAATTGTTAGAAGACTTAAGAGAAGAGAGTAATTATTGTAATTATTTTAGAATTCTGGATTTTGTTCATGAGGGGCAGGTATGACACTTTAGTTTTTGATACTTTGAAGCATTGTTCAGTGACTAGCCCGCACAATTAAATATTTAGTTTTTAAAACTCATCATAGTTCCACATGAAAGTACTATGAAGTAACCAGTCACCTTTTCTGGTTGAAGACTTCTGTCATCCCACCTCCACATGGGCTTATAATAATGTATTAGACTGATTAGTCTAATAATCTCTAATTTTTTTCACATAGCTTTGCTCACTCACTTATATCATAGTAATTGTTCTGCTGCTTATATATATATGGTAACCCAAAGGGAAAGCCTTGAAATATGTTCTAAGGTCCTGGGAAAATGAGATTATCCTGTCAATATTTTATTTAATTTTAAAATGTTAGCATACATTTTGGAAAGCATGCAGTGTGTTTCTTGGAGGAGTACAGAGAGAATAGTTAAAATTGTGAATGACCAGCTCTGTGGTTGGACAAGCAGTTAAAGAGGGGGACAACCCAGGTCTAGCAGGCAGCCACCTCCCAGGGGAGTAGGGAGGGCGGCAAAGTGTGGATAAAATGATGGCAACAACACATGTTCTTGTTGGAGTTGGGATCGTGCTTGAAATGTCACTTAGAGTTATAGCAGGTTATCTAGGGCTAATGTATCTTCCTTAAAATGTCCTGATTTTGGTCTCTCTGCAGTGGTGGTTAAAGAATGTTTTTTTCTACCTGTCTTCTATTATATTAAATTCTTTTAATGGTGACAAAGCCTCACCCCTTCCTCCTGCCCCTTAGTTTGACTCCTGATGATTTTATTGTTTTTAAATTAATAAATATTTTAATAGCAGTTTTAAATTCACACCAAAATTCATTAGAAAATACAGAGTTCCTATATGTCCCCTGCTCTACCCCATGTAACCTCCTATTGTATCCATATTCCACACCATAGTGAAGCATTTCATGTGGTGCTTTGAGATGAAAAGAGACCATATAATTAATGGGTCAGCAGTAGAAACTGTCAGTCACCCAGATCAAGGATTATTAGCTACCAGGATAAATGGCTGTTTCCTCACACTTTCTTCTTTTTCTTATACAATAGGGGTAGTGAACACTCGGTACTGTAGCCACATGGCCCAATTTTCAGATGCCCTCAGCTTTCCATGATCTCTTCAGAGAGTGTGGCATGGTAATGCAGAGTAGGGGATTCTGAGCTCAGACTACTCACATTTTAAAATCTAACTCTACTACTAGCCTCACATCCTTGAACAAGTATCATGACCCCTATGCCTCCTTATCTTTTCTCTGAAAGGGGATAAAAGTAATGGGACCTATCCCATGAGGTGGTTGTGAAAGTGTGTGTTTAAAAATGTGTCTACCATAGAGTGAATGTTATGCCTTCTTATGTTCCTTCCAGTGTTAATTTCTAGTACTGTGATTTCAGAGTTTTCACACACATTTCGTTTATCCTTGTGTTATCTTTTATGACTGAATCCTACTTACGATTATCTTTTTAGGTTAAATTTAGTCATTACTTATTCTCATTAGTTTCCTTCCTGGCTCTTTCTCTCCTCAGTCTTCTGCAAACACACACATATTGTGGGGTTGTGGCCCTGAAATGTGTTCATGACACATTTTTACTGTTCTGAGTATTTGGATTCTAAAAGTCAAAGCTCACTTGCTTAAGTTGCCATAAAACAGAAGTTCTGCAACATTTTATTTCCTGTGGTTCATACAGTGCCTAGTGCAATAATTTTTTGATAGAGACTAATTGAGTTAGTGACAGAGTGAAGAGGACAGTTGAAATGTAAAGTAGGATAGAGAGGTCACCATTGAGAGGGAGGAGGGCCCTAAAAGGAGGTGGGACACTGATAGTCAATATCAGCCTTATAGGTTCCCATTCACTTTCAAGTTTGTTATTTTGTCCCATTGTCCCAGACATGGAACATGTAAGGAAACTTAATTGAGCAACATCTATACTACTTATTGTGGCTTTGGAATATTATTTGAATATTTATTATGTTTACAGAATTGAAAACTTGAGAGACTTAATGGGCTAAGAAAGTCAAGGCTCTGCATATTTTTTTTTCTCTGCGGTTTCATTGTATACAAGTTTTATGAAGCAGAAGAGTTGCCATTGTACTGTCTGACCCATGAGGAAACTGTTATATATAATTGAAAAACATTTTATAATCCAGTTTAGCTGCAGAGAAATTTTATTCTTTGAGGTAGTTAAAGAATCACTGTAATCTAACCTTCCCATCCTGTAGGTAATTCATTGAAATATGTGTGTCTCAAGCACAAGTCTATTGCACTTACATTATTCAGCAAGACAGGAGGAGTATCTCTATCTCTGGTTACATGAGAGAAACAGTTAGCAAAGACATCAAGTTCATGATAATCATTAAAAAGTACTTTAGTGGAGCTGGTGTTGTGGCTCAATGGTAGAGCATGTGTGAGGCACCAGGTTCCATTCTCAGCATCCCATATAAATAAATAAAGTCCGCTGACAACTAAAATAATATTTTAAAAAACTTACTTTAGTAGAGGTGATACATTATAACATTTGATGAGAACATGGATCAGCCAACTAGTTTTTGTGAAAGTTTGATGCTGTTTCATATAGCAGCAAAAGTTTTTCTGACAAATGCTTTTAACATTTCAGCAGGAATAAAAAGAGGAAATCATACCCATCTTCCATTAAAAACTGTCATCCCTTTTCAGTTATTTCATTAATCTGACTAGTTCAGGACTACAGTGAGATCTGCATTTCAGTTTCCCCTTGGGAAAAAAAAAACCATAATTGGATAGTTCAGTTAAATCATAAGAGACTGGCAAAAGATTTTTATCTTTTCTATTACCACCACCCAGCTATAGGTTTCGCTTCCCAGTGGTTTGGTTTATGGGGTCAACCTTTCCTTCTGTTGCAGGATAGCAGCAAAGAAATCCACCACAAAGACTGTCAAAGTAGAATTAAAAAGCTCAGGTTTTAGAAAAGTTAAGTTCCTGCCAATGCTTTCAATTTATCATGCAATTAAAATGTTACTCAGTCTAATAATACGCATGGGGTAAAAGAATGTAAAAATGAGATTTCTTTGGTATTATCAACCCATCTCAATTGGCTCTAACTGCTATGGTACAGATGGTTCATTATATAGTCTGCCGTTGGCAATTGGGCCGAGAAGGTGGGGGTGCGACTTCCAAGTGTGTGAAATAACAGGTGGAAATCTAGCTTGTGTATGTGTCTACGTTAATCATCGACTTCCTGTTGTTTTGAGCCTCTCTAATGCTTCATTGTGCTGCTTAGCTATATAGAAGTGTTCTAGGTGAAGAAAGATACTAGTTTTAATGAATGTTTACCTTGAACATAAGCTTCTCTGGTTTAATGTCTAATTCTTCAGGAGAGTAAGATAATTGATGAATGCTGTATCTCATGAAGTTTAAAAGAAATCAAAATATTGCTACTCATGAATAAAATAAGCTCTTAGGGTAATCAATTCAATTGTGTCTCTATTTTCTCCATGAAAAATAGAGCCTTTATCAGTCCTGACTACTTTAGGGGGATATTGTTCAGTTACAAGTTTAAAAATTGGAATAACTATGCTGATTTTAATTAAAGAAATTATCAACCCCAGTCCACCAAGTAGACTCTTCTCAAGATCAGCAGTGATTTCTATCATGGCATATTCTTTGCTTTTCTGCATTCTTTCAGTTGATCTTTTAGCAGTTCTTTCCCTTTTTCCCTCCTCATATTTCTTCTTAAGATTCTCTTGTTTCATTCTGTTAACTTTCCCCTGATGACCTCAGCTAAGACCAAGCTTTATCTACTA